GCTTGTTACGAAATACCAGGTATTTTCACAGATCTTATAGTATACCGAAGCCACAGCTTTGAATAATTAGGAAATATAAAACACTGTTTATAGTTTTGGATGTATGATCAGCTAGAGCTGGTACTAACACATTTGCAATAAAACAGTAAAGGTTCAAATTATAAATGATACATAACAGAAGAAATCTTTTTGTGTTATATAGTTACCAAGTCCAAAGCTGCTTATTGAAATCTGTGATATTTCTCTATAGGAATTTAGTTGATATTACTGTTACATATTATCCTATTTATAACCTGAACAAAATGTTCCCTTTCCCCAAAACGAGATAAGTTTCATACAGAAAAAGTGTGCAAAATGTACCGGACTTTTTGTGCACACAAAACTTTAAAACAATGTATCCACAGAGTGGCTTTCCCACAGTGGACCCTGAATTTTGGATATTACGTAATAGACAGAGATGCCACTCTGGGAACACACCCTTGAAACACTGCTTCTTAAAGTTTTCTATGCGCTTATGGAGCCGCATGCCAACATTTCGGATTCGATTGTTTACTAGTTTAGGGGTTAGGGTTAGGGTTATTTTCAACTCAGTTTTATAATTTTCACCTTTCCGCGCTCGCATCACGTGACCTAATTAAATATTGCAGGCAGGTATCCGGTATAATGCATGTGTACCCTAATTTTACTTTGTCTAATTTTTAAGCAATCTGCTTTTAGCGGTAAGTGGTATTTACTGAAGAGGACATTCCATATGACTTCCTGAAATACTTCAAACACGAAGTAGTACAAAGGGACCGTTCATAATTTATGGATAGGGGGTGGGGTGTGATGATGATTTTATGGAGAAGCATGTACAATGTGAATGCCCCCTAAAATATATGTACAAAATCAATGACCCCCTCCCCTTCCCATAATTTCTAAGCAAAATTGTGAAAACATATTCTTACGTACAAAATTGATGACCCCTAGTATATGTGTACAAAATTGATGACCCCCTAGCTCCCCAGAACAAAATGGGGTCCCCCCATTAAAATCAATATCACCCCCCTAGCCATAAATTATGAACGGTCCCTATGCAAAAGACTCTGGGTGTTGTGGACTGTCGAAGCTCATCTGTCACGCCATTAAAAGAAAGAAGAGAAAAGATGCAAAATCCACTGTCTTTATCTATACAAAGTTTATTATGTATGTCAGTCTATATATGGGTTATAATTTTTGCCCTGATTAATCTGCCCTTAACAGCAAGAGTTACCCAATCATGTTAAGTTACATAATGTACAACAACACAGTCATTTTTCGTTCAAAGGTGACAGGTATAGTGTGTATTGCCAACATTGAATATAGGACCACAGTGTTGTGGTAATTTCAAATTCGATCGTAGTACGGTTTTACACACCAAGTGCATTTGTATGAAACAGTCATACATAAAACATAATTTGTGTAAGCATTTATTAAAATAAAGAGATTTGATGAGATGATCTATTCTGCAGAATAATATGGAAGCAACAACCCGCCAGTAGGAACTCGTTATCCAATTTCTTAAAAAATAGTCAATACAGTTACCAGACAAAAGCACAATACACAAGTATGGTTTGAAGGTCATTCTCAGTTATTTCAACTTTAGTGTTCTGAGATTTAATTCCTTTTTCTTCGATATCATTTACTCATGTCATTATATTATAGTCATACCGCCCCAAGTTTTACAGATTTATCACACCCCTCCCGTCTACTCTAGAGAATACCGAACGTCATTGAAAATCGTGGAGAAAAATGGTAGACTAACCAGTTCTATAGTCTTCTTCAACCATCGTTAGCTTATTGTGTATTAGGAAACGTTTATTAGTCAGCTGGTCACAAGGACAATAATAGACCACTTAGCATGACAACAAACATCTTTTAAAACCACAACATCCTTAGTCTGATGTTTCATGAATTTCATGAGGTGTCCACGAAAACGGAAATAAACATTATGAACATAAATATTTTATGTTGCCACAACATGTCTAAGAAATCGAACTTGGTGTGTTTAGGCCAGACTAAAGAAATATATTAGGGATTACGGGCAGGGTTTTTGTGAGAGAGAACTTTGACAGTGGGCCATTTTCAGAATTATTAGCCATTTTCTGAATTATTTTTTTCTGTACTTTTATCAATAGTAAACTTCAAAATTTTAACGGGCCATTTTTTATTCCAATGTGCAAAATGGCCCATGGCCCCTGCCTTTCCCAATCCCTGTACGGGTTTCAGTCATAGTCTTCTCAGGTCATATTTTCAGTCTCAAAATATTATTCCATCACTTAAAACAAAGTTAATAAATTATATTTGGAAGTCATACGTTTGTATTTGCTTTCAGTTGAACATTTGAACGTTGGAAGTAGATATTGACCACTCACCACTGTTTCTAGTTGGGTGTATGTTGTATACTGTACCTTAGTGTTGGGAAATCTCATAATTGATGGTTGGTGCATTACAACCGACCGATCAATCATCGAAAATAATTGGTTAGTGTCATTAATGAAATTTGTTAATGCACATAAAAATAAGGAAAAAACATGTAGTTCTTTGGGGTTTTTTGGGCAAAATTTCACATCTTTAAAGGATGACTAGCTACAGTATGTTAGGAACATAAATTTCTTGGAGTCTTTAAGATGAATTCAATCATGACTTCCAGATTTGTTTGTGTTCGATTATGAGAAAACATGATCGATTGCTTGGTCGTTTAGTCACTGCGACCAGTCTTCGATTATTTCAATTTATCAGACCAACACTACTGTAACTATAAGTGAAAAAGTGAATAGATCAGGCAATTGAGATTTAGAGGTCTGACGTAGCTATTTGCTTTCAGCTTCAACCTGCTTTCTAGATTTTTGTCGCTTGTTGACTACTTACTACCACAAATTCCATTTCCTTGTACAGATAGCATAGAGACATATACAGACACATACTGTATACCCGAATTATACCATTAAAAAAAAGTAAGGAATATTGGATTTACAAGATTGATAAAATGCAAATGATGAACCCAAGGAGGAAACAGAAGATGAAGAGAAACCAAGGGAAAATGTGACAATTTATTCCATTCCTTTCGAAATGTTTCATCTGTATGGATATATATTACTTTTTCACACATGCATTGGCATTGGCTAGGGGTATGCTCGCAAAATGGAATATCCCTATTTTTTTTAATAGTATATAATCCTTTCTGGTGTTACGAACTTATAAAAAGAAAATCAGAAAATGTCAGAATAGGATTTCCGTTCTAGTTTTACTTGATCAAATTTAAAAGAAATCTCGCGTGTTTTTTGCTGGTAGTGGTGAGGTGAAATTGGGTTTAACGTCGTGCTGTATGTGTATGTGCGGCTGCTTGTACTAGCCCAGACTTAAGCTGGTTTTATAGTGCTAGCCCACTGGGATACCATGCCGCAGTGAAGCATGAATACCCCACTCAGACACATTATACTGACTCAAAGCCGACCAGTCCTTGTTGTACCCATTAATGCCGAGAGCGCCAAGCAGGGACCGTCAAGTACCATATTTTAACGTCTTTTGGTATGACGTGGTCGGGGATCGAACCCGCGACCTTCCGCTCTCTCGGGCGGACGCTCTAACCACTACACCACGGAGGCGGTAGTGGTGACGTGGCAATGGTGTCTTAGTACGATTTGTTCAAGGCAAATGGACAACTACGATGACAGGTCTCATTTGTGTTGAAAACATTCTCCAGTATTATAGTATTACTGATTTCAAGTATTTATGTTTGAGTCTTCTCGATGTCCCCACAAGAGTTTTCATATTTCTTGCATCTAACCATCCTCAATACTCATTCCTCTGGTCACCTTCACAAATCAGTATCCTGACGCAAATTTACAAACTTTTTATTCATTACCGTTAATCTAAGTGAACAGTTTTTACGTTGTCTACTCATACCATATTCGGAAAGAAATTACAGTAGCAATATTCTGAAAATTCTAATCTAACTATTGCTCTATTTCACAGATTAAAATTGCTACAAATCAAATGCTCAAGTCAACACTGTCTGGCTGAGTAAATGTTGGAAAGAGCATTTCCAAACTAGTGAACAGGCAATATGAAGAATTATATTGTCAGGGGGACCTATGGGCTATACTAACTTAGTGCTAGATATCAATGGTCATTCACACCAATCAGCTACTGCAAACTCCACCTACGCCTTGTTAACTGTGTTACATCCACTGAGGAGAGCAGTTTGTTCTTTAGTATGAATTTTTGGGTAAAGCGTGCCTAAAAATATTACAGATTTCTCAGCTCATTTAATCAGCCACCTTCTCCGTGGCCTTGACTTGAAATGACGTCGTGTGATGCTATGTTGTTGAAGAAGCAAATAACAAATCACTTTTAAACCCCTGAATGCCCTTAATGATTTGTGTATTAGTAGGTGCCTGTCAAGAAGAAGGATGCATATTTTAATTATTGGACACACGTACGCCTTAAATTCAGGCGTATGACTAGAATGACACCATGCTATCTTATTAGGTTGGTTAATTTTCCAGGACAGTGACTGATTCTCATCCAAAATTCCCGAAGTGTTTTTTTCACATTTGATATGGCAATTATACAGGAAAATGCCATTATCATGTAGCAAAATCGATTGAATTTGGATACTAGAAAGTTGAATAAAATCTTAGATTCCTTCCTGGACTTGTCCAAGTAAACATCCTGTTTAGAAACATCAGGCATATTTCATTCCCTGTTCCTACATGTAAAATTCTAGTACCCATCATAAGAAAAATATTCCGAAGATACATTAAGCCGGATGCGCCGGAATAGATTTCCCGTTCACATTTTCAATCTAACCAAAGATCACCTGATATCCTCAAATGGTGGTTTCTAAGCAACGTTGGTCTCAGTCAGCCATCTTTGTTCATTGTGAACGGATACTCTGATTACACACTTCGTTTGCGTTGAGAAAATACCTGTGGTGTTACTGATTTCAAGCACTTTCGTTGCTGCTCCTCTTGCTTTACTATGTTCTCGTCTGTCTCAGGTATTTTCTTTCTTCCTTCCTTTGATTTTTCTGTCTTTTACAGCTCTACGTGCCTCTCACCTGTAATGGCCGTCTGTACTGGCAGTTTTGTTATTAATAAATGCAATTATGTATTTCAGTTCTTCCTTTCGCTGATTTATCTGCTTTTCCCTCAACCTGTTTTCATTCAAACATTTGTCTTTGAATATACATTATACATTTCTTCCGATCCAATTATGAGATTTTAAAAATGTATACTGGCTAGCGAACAGTTATCGCCAATACATCAGTATCACACGTGCGCAGTTCCGGTCAATTACGTGAATATTCCGGTATTTTTTCCTACGGTATTTGACAACAATACAGGACAGCAAAAGAAATTTCTTCACGGCAAGTAACATAAGAAAAAAATTAAAGATAAAGTTATGAACCCTATAAATTATTTTTACTGAGTCGTTTCATTCCCTATCAATCTACTGTAAAATAAACACTCAAATAGTCACACAATCAATTATTCGAGGTTACTGTATGATATAAATATATATTATTTCACGAATGGCATGAGAAATTCTGAATGGCGATAACTGTTACCGTTAGTTGTGAGAAAACATCTATTTATACCGCCATGAGTTCCTTCCAGCGTTATATAAAAACATGATCGGCGGCAGTGAACGGGCTGGACACATCGGTGAATAGCTAATAAGTATCATGATTAATTCTGTTTCATTAATTTAACGAACGGCGGAGTAATTTTGTAAATACCGCTAAAATATGGCGATAACTGTTCGCTAGCCAGTAGACAGAAGAAAGAACTTAAATATTTTGACAATGTTTTTACCTATCTGGAATACATGGTGGTATCCCATGTTGAAATCTAGTCAAAGTAAAACCTGTAACTAGGTTTATGTATTCGTTTTACAATGGTCTGTACACATGACCATAAAAGCCCTGGGTCCTGGTTGCATGAATGACAGTCATGATATTACAATGGTCTGTACACATGATGAATTTTACAATGGTCTGTACACATGACCAAAGGCCTGGGCCTTGGTTGTATAAATGACAGTCATGATTTTACAATGGTCTGTACACATGACCATAAAAGCCCTGGGTCCTGGTTGCATGAATGACAGTCATGATTTTACAATGATCTGTACACATGACCAGAAGGCCCTGGGTCCATGAATGACAGTCATGATTTTACAATGGTCTGTACACATGACCAGAAGGCCCTGGGTCCTGGTTGCATGAATGACAGTCATGATTTTACAATGGTCTGTACACATGACCAGAAGGCCCTGGGTCCTGGTTGCATGAATGACAGTCTTGACATTGGTTTATACACAGTGGTTTATACACATGACCAGAGAGGTTGTATGAAAAATAGTCATACTATTACAATGGTCTATACAGATGATCTAAAGACAGTGGGTCCTAGTTGCATGGATAATGGTGACACGTTTGTGATGGTTTATACATAAGACCAGAAGGCACTGGGTCCTGGTTGCATGATTGATAGTCATGATTTTTGCAGTGGTATACAGATACAAATGACCAGAAGGCAGTTGGTATTTGTTTGCATGACCTGTCGGACAAAATATCACTCCTCTACCCTACCGATATGCGATTGATTTGGTCACTTTTATAGTAATATCAACTAATCTGATAAGTTATTTTGAACTGTAATTTAGTGATCATACTTCCTTAGACTGTGGGTTCGAATCCTGGATGGGATGCAACCCAACAAGAGTAAGAGAATCTGTACTTTACTGAGAAAGTGTAATCCCAAATAAAACATGTTTTAATGGCAGTTGGCAAAAAGATTTGACAAAACTAAAGTTATTGTATTTCGTAAAGAATCTAGACTAAGGAAATATGAGAAACTTAAGCTTAAAGCAAAACGTACTGATATTGTAGCAACCTATAAATATCTCTCAAGTTCTAGCTCGTTGTGTGTAGGACATCAAGCATGGAAAATTGAAGCATGGAAAATACTTTTGTTGAAATCTCAGACTACAACTTTGATAATTTCCCTGCAAAGTACTAATACATATTTTGTATCAAACTTTTGCCAGTTTTAACATTTGGGTCAGATGACATATGGATGCATATGACAGGGTTTGTAAGTTACAGTTACATTTTATAAAACCCTCACCAAGTATTATGGCCAAAATGGAACAGGGTTGGTATTCCTTTAAAGGTAAATCAGCAAGTTAAAATTATTATCAGAAAAGGGAATTGGTTGTTGGGCTTTGAGTGTTAAGGAACCTTATTTGGATCTGGATCAGAAATGTTAGGGTCAAACATGGCAGCGGTTCCTTAAATAATTTAAACAAAGATGTCTTGACATGATGATCAGAGGTATTTTGAGAAATTATGTACATTGTCCAGTTTATATCTTTATAGCCATATTAAGACCTAAAATATATTTGAAGATTTACCATTTGCTATACTAGTAAAACCCTATAGATTTGCCTTTTCTAGGCTTCATCTCTCAGTTTAATGGTTTATTAACCATTCCGTGTTGGAAGGTTGGACATTCCGAAAAATACCCGATTGGGCCATAATGGATTGTTCCCACTGTAGAAAAGGAATATCAGTTTTGCAGCATTTGTCCATTTTATGCAGAATTAAGATATCATCTTCCTACTTACTATTATATTGTACATCCTTCAGAAAGAAAGTTTGTCCAGCTGTTGACATCTCGCAATATTCATAATATTTAAGCCCAAATATTGTATATTGCAGTGAGTAAGTATGAAGAATAACATAAACAAATATATTCTTAATATGAAAGATACAGTGACTGATCAGGTCATCACCAGATTTAATATGAATATATAATGTATTCTTCAAGCAGAAAGACTGGTCATGACGTGCATACAGGATACTTCACAGTAAGGTCTTATGCATTATTTTATCAAATTTTCATTCTTCTATCTATTTACCCAGTTTGAAACACATCTTCAGGACGTTTCGGACAACAACCAGTCATCATTCTGGAAAATGAAACTCTGCAGTTTCATCAGTAATTTTTTCTATCGCTGATGAAATAATAGCTGTTACAAACTTAGGAACATTATTTGTTAGTTTCAGTGATGGGCGGTTCAGCACCTAGTGGCAACCTATATAATCTAGATTTCTGGTGTTTATACATGGTTCATGTCTGAAACCTCACATAGACTTCAGGCAAATATCAATCATAATGATTATCTAACGTTCTCTTTTAAACTATAACCCTTATGTTCCCCAGTGTGCAATATGGTATTGTTTGCACAATCTCATCTGACACAAGGAAAGGAAGTCTCCGACCAACATAATAATGATTGTAATCAATTAATGATGTAACATATACTAGCTCGGGGCATCACACGGTCTCCTTGAATCATAAATTTAAACAAATGTAACCACCAAGGGACCTAAAGCTCCGCACACATCAGAGCATCTATTGTCAGCGTTCGCTGACCGACGTGCCCTACTAAATTTACCAGCAAGATATTACCTCTGCTGTGTCACACGAGAGATACGATCCTCACATTGACAGAATAGCACATAGTTTCAAGTTTGACTGACGCTCATGAATCGGTCTATTCCACAAGGACCACCGGAATGTATTTGTCTGTGTAACTTTAGGAATCGGTAATGTCATTGCGGGCTTCAAGCTCTAGTTGGTAGGCACTCTATTGTGAAGACTGATCTTGTCTCTAGTGTTCAGTTGTTCTGCAATAATGAGACCTGGAACAGTATCTCCGCAACTCAAGCGTCGATATCACTGCATCCACAAATATGGAACAATGTGGAACCCCGGTCAAGTTAATAGAAAGACTTCAGCATGTTTTTATGTGTTTCTTGTAACTTCAAGAATAGTAGAACCTATCTTTCAATGAGAATTTATTGGATTTTAAATTGAAACATATTACTTATACACTGTATCATGTACATCCCCAGGTAAAGTTTCAATGGTAAAATTATTCAGTTGCAAATGTTTCAGCTGATGAAAATTAATGAATCGAGTCTGAACTAGACCAGTGTTTGACATGACATGCATCAACCACAATGCATGATTCTGTACTTCTGTCTTTGCATGTATAAAAGTTAATCTGAGTGTTTGAGGCATTTTCAGAATAGTTTGCAGACAAAGGAGCTGCCCTTGACAGAAATGTAGTGTATCCTTCCGGATAAAAAATATACTTCCCGTTCGCATTTTTAATTCAACCAACTCTCACGTGATAAACCTGAAAGGACGTTGCTAAGCAACGGTCATTTCAATCAGCCATCTTTGTTCACTGTGAACGGACATCTCTGAATACATACCTTGTTTGTGGTGAAAAACTACCGCGGATTTCTTGATTTCTGCTCCTCTCTTGCTTTCCCTATGTTTTCCTCTGTCTCAGGTATTTCTTTGCTTTCTTTCTCTTATTTCTCCTTTTTACGTGTCGATGTGCGCCTCTAATTCTTGTTGTAAGCATTTCATTCTTGAAATCTTTGGTTCGATACGTCTAAATCGGCATAGTTTAGTGCCTGTCACCCTCTGTAGAAAATGAGTCAATGAGATGACTTCGATTCTTACGCACCATTGTGCTGTAAACGCGTCTATACCAATCTATATTGTGTCTTTGTGTGCAATCGCACCTTTGAATAAGCCCTGTTCACATGAACATGAACACGATTTCGTGTGTACAGAAGTTGGCCACAAGTGAGTCATCATAGTGAAATTCACTGCTCAAGTCTGGGAATTTCACTAATAATGACTCACTTATGGCCAACTACAGTATGTTTGCATACGTGTGTAAACATACTGACCCGTGCAAAAAAGTATTTGGACACTTGACATGATTTCCATAGACTTACATGTTATTTCAATGTAGGATAAATAATTTTCATGAAGTGTTGGTAAAATTTGACAGGCAAATTTGAAATCATCTCTGCTCTGGGCACACAAATTCAGTTCAATATTCCGACCACTATTTAACTAAGGACATGATTGACATCACATTTATCAACTTGTGTATGGTTCCACA